TGATGTAGAATAGCGGCTGGAGCTCGGCCCTACCTGCGAGCTCCTCACACACACACACACCATCACCCAAATCGCCTAAAAGCTCCGATCCCCTTCACTACCTAGAAATATAACATATGTTGTATGATACCTAAAAGTCGCAAATCATTTGAAGTTATATATACAGTAAAATGCTTAGTGTTAGTAAATTTTTTGTATAATTCCATGTAAAATGAGTCCAAATACAAAATTATTACAAAAAGAGATAGTAGAAAAATATTTGTAACTTCTACATTTTACAAGCAAAAATTATATTGTTTGGTATCATTTTACTTAACATTTTGAGCTGAAGTCAAAAGCATTAACCGATTTTATAACGAAAGTAAAATTTAAAAAAATGATGGTTTAATTTCTTTTAGCCAGGGATGAGTCACACAGCAGGTCTCTGGTCCGTCCTAATCCCTTGCGTGTGTGAGTGAGAGTGGCCTGCGTGTGTGTGAGTAGGGTTGACCCTTCAGCGAGCCGCGTTCCCTGAACAGTCTTAGCACCTCTCCTCTCCATACAGATACAGCCACTGTTAGTGACCAAGTTACTGATCCTGGCCCTTCTACTCAATCCACTGCCTTGCCCCAGACCTTGCCCCACAGTACACCAGAAGATCAGCTAGCTCGAAGAAATACTCCTGCCCTAAAACATTTCTTATTCTCAGAATCCGTTACAAAATCCGAGATATTTTGGTCAACGCTGTTGGTGAAATTAAAGTTAATGAAAGAATAAATTGTTATAAACTCTTATTTTCTTACAAACACAACACAACACTAAATTATATTTAGTAAACCACTGCATATGTAAAATGTAAAAACATATGATGGTCCATCACTAATCCAGACTAGATGAGTTGGGTTGCAATATTCAAAAAATGCAGATAGTTCTCAATCATATATCTTTCAGAACTGTAGCCAAACTAGCCGCTGGGTTTAGTAAGCAATTTCCAGATAGCGAAATAGCTGGGAAAATAAAGCTCCAGAAAACTAAAATAGGGTACACTATTTTGTTTGGACTTGCACCGTACCACAGAAAGCATACTACTATAACCCAGAATGCTAACCGCATGGTAAAAAACGTTAAGTACTTTGAGAGAGCTTTGCCTGTCAATTCGTAGGCAGCGCCACCAGCGTATGCTGAGTGCATTGCAACGCTGGTGGCGCTGCCTACAAACTGACAGGCAAAGCTCTCTCAAAGTACTTAACGCTTTTTACCATGCAGTTGGCATTCTGGGTTATAGTAGTATGTTTTCTGTGATCGTACTTCGGGTGAGAGCTGGAGTCGTCATTGAAAGATGCGTCATACATTGTTGTTTGTTTTGATGAAGCGCTAAATTAAGTGTCCCAAAAACAACAAATGCACATACACCTTAGATTTTCCAAAAATTCCCAGATTGAAACCCACTACTTTTCCTCTGTTTTCTTAGCAAATTCTAAAGCATCTGCCTTGTTGGATGCCTTGACTGGCATATTACCAATAGATTATCTAAAAAAAGTCATCCAAGTATCAATGGATGGTCCTAACGTAAATTTGAAAATGCTAACAGAATTAGATACCTATCTAAAAGAAATACCGGACAGTCACTTATTGCTAAACATATGAACTTGTGGCCTTCACACATTGCATAATGCATTTAAAGTTGTGATAAATAGTACAGGATGGGAAATAATTACTTTTTTAAGAGCTTTGTATAATTTATTTAAAAAATCACCTGCTAAAAGGTCTGAATATGTACGGCTATCAGGATCTTAATTGTTTCCTCTTCAAATTTGCACAGTAAGATGGGTCAAAAGTGGACCTGTAGCAAAAAGGGCATTTAAAATCTTACCCAACGTAATAAAATATGTAACAGATACGACTAAAGAACCCAATTCCTACAGTTTCAAGGTTGTGAAGGAAAAGATTAAAGATAAAATGTTGATGCCTAAACTTGCATTCTTTTCATCTATGGCCTCAATGATAGAGCCTTTTCTTCGTGAATTCCAAGGAGATCAGTCGATGGCACCTTTTTTGTACCAAGAATTAAATTCTCTAGTCTTCTCGTTTATGGAAAGAATTGTAAAGGAACATGTTTTGACAAATGCTGAAAACAGAGCAGAAAAAATCCAACCCACTAATGACAATCTCAAACCTGCCAAAACAATAGATATAGGTCTTGTTACACGTGATGCCCTCAGAAGCTCAGGCGCAAAAACACAATTGGATGTATTAACCTTCCGAAATGAATGTAGAACGGCTATTGTAGCCATGACGAAGAAACTCATGGAAAAATCTCCACTACATTACAGTTTGACAAAATATATTTCTTGTTTGGTTCCAGGAACAATTGGTTTCAATAGAGCACTTGCTGAGGTTAGATTGACAAACTGCTTAGAAAAAATCTAATTTCTAAAATAAAATCCGACTGTATTAAGAAGCAATATAGAGAAATATTCCTCTCTGAAGAAACTATGCGACTGTGCAAGAAGTACAAAAGAAACCAGGTCCGACTGGACAAGTTTTTGTTAGAGATTATTTCTAATAACGGAGGGACAGAACAGTACATATCTGACTAAATTTTGTTCAATTATTTTGACAGTGTCTCACGGAAACTCTACCCATGGAGCGAAGTTTTTCTATCAACTCCGAATGCATTGTAGAAAACCTGAAGGAGGAGAGTTTGGTCGCTTTACGCCAAGTATATGATGGGATAAACTCAGTTGGTGTCCCGGTAGAGCAGTTCGAAATAACTAAGGAGCTCGTGCATTGTGCAAGAAACGCTCACTCACTTTATACAGAACATTTAAGAAAAGAAACTGGAGGACAAATGAGTAAATCATTGACAGCTTACATTTTTAAAGTTGCCTTAATTTTTCAATTTACTGTAATTTAAGTGTTTTTTATAAACTATTTAAAAGTCTTAAACATCTTTTCCTCTGCCACAAACGTGGAATAAACTACATCCTACTTGTAAGTATAATTTGTATGTTCATTTTGCATGTTTTTTTTTTAATACTGGTACATCAATTGTTTTTTTAGAACTATTAATAACTCACTAATTAACAGTTATTATTTTATATTTTAGTATTTTTATTTTTCACTCATGTTAAGTAATGTCTTAAATTATTAACTATCATAATATACATACTTTATTAATTTACTATTGTATGTATACTAACAATTCAGTATTCATTTCAATATTTATATGCAAGAATTGTTACGGTGTGGGAGCTATTTGACAGACGCAACATTCTTACTACGTTTAACTCAGATAATTGGGTTCGGTGCTCGATGGGGCGCGAGGAGGGAAGGTGATTGACCTTGACAGCCTGGTCAAGGCTTATGTAACCATAAGCCTTGACCAGGCTGTCATAACTGGTGCTTTACTGCTGTTGGACAATGCACCATAACATCCATCTGAAGAGGATTTAGTGAAAGGGGACATTAAAGCTATCATCCTGCCTCCAAATGTTACATCCCTGATCGATCCAATGGTTCAGGGAGTTTATTGAATGGTTAAAAAGGCGCTATCACAGAAAGTTCATCAGCTCAATTTTGGAAAAGCCTGGAGAAGGTGCTAACTTATTTGAGGCTATGAAAGCCCTTAATATCAAAGATGCTATCCATACGATGGCTGAGTCATGGGAAGAACTGAAGTCTGACACGCGGCAAAAATCATTGCGTAAGCTTTGGCCGGATTTTATGTACAAAAGTGATCAGATCGAAGAGGAGCAAAACAAGGACACAAAGGAAATCGTAAAAGATCTCCAAACTCTAGAGGCAAATGTCCCTGTCAGTGAAGTTGAGGAGTGGATTGCCCAATGTGACAAGACAAAGACTGTGAAACCAGCGAAGAGAGCTCAATGACGACCAGATTATTGCCACTGTTTTTGATAACGATGGGGAAGAAAATGTGAATGAGGACTCGGATGGTGACAACAACAACCCCCCTACCCGGATTTCACACATGGATATTTTGTGGATCAAGAAATGGCGGAACACTGCAGCTAAGTCTGGAATTTCATCAACTAAACAAAAATCTATAACTGACTTTTATTTCCAAGTAATTTTGTACTTCAGTAAAACAGTAGGCTAAACTTTTTCAGTACAGTACAGTCTTACACTCTTTTATCAATCATAATAACAACTTTTGTGTGATTCATTGCAATGTTTGTAACATATAAACAACATATGTTCAATACTGTACATACAGTTATAAAATTGTTATTTCTCTGTTAATACGTTTTATTAAATGACTTTTATTAAATATTGTCTTTTCTATGATAATCCGACCTTTTACTTTCTCCCCCTATACCATAGTATATGGAGAAAGTATTATGTTCGTCAAAATTTTCGAGTTTGAGTTTTGAGTGGATATATCCGTTTTGGGTCCCCCTGGATCCAAAAAAGTGGTTTTTGAAGTGATGTCTGTGTGTGTGTCTGGATGTGTACAGAGCTACAGACCACACCTGTAGTCCGATTTTGATGAAATTTGGTATGTAGGTACTAATCCATGGTATCTCCAGGCGTTTTTTTTCCCCATTTTTTTGAAATTTTGATTTTTAATGTAACTTTTTCCATAAAAACCCATAAAATAACGGAAAAATCGGATTTTCTCAAAAATGGCCCGAACGATTTTGATGAAAATTTAGTATGTTGTAACCCTTTGAATTCTGAACAAAATGGTAGAACTCCCATTTTTGTAAAAATTACGGTTCAAAAGTTAATTGGAAATTATGTTATTTTCCCATAAAAAAACCCCCATAAAATAAGAGAAAATCGTATTTTTGAAAGAAACCGGTTTAGATTGAAATTAGTATGTGGTAATACTTATAATTCCAAACAACATAGTGCAACCCCCCATTTCTGTAAAAATGATGGTTCAAAAGTTATTGTAACTTATGTACCAGCTATCTCCCCAGAGGCGACAGATTAGAAGGGTTCTACTGTATACCTTAATTATACTTCATGGGATCATTTATATTGTTTTTTGCCAGACATCAACGATGATAGTGCAGCAAGCTTGTTGCGACGTCTCGACTCTCGGCTGAGCTCAGAAGTTGTCCTGGCTCGACAGGTTTGTGAAACATCTCACTACTACATTGTAACTTGACAAAATAGAATTTATTCAAATATGTTAAGGGCCTTTGTACACTACGTGACCATGACAGCGCTACATTGGGAGCGTTAGGTGGTGAGTAACCTTGATTGGTGAGCCACTTCATTAGGCACATCAGTTACTTTAGGAAAGAACACCGCTCTGGCTCTGTACCCGAAAACGTTATAGTAAATGAATCCATTTTTATAAACGATAAACATAAAATTCCACAAATGGAACTATTTAAATCTTGTATTTGATCAGTTGTATAGTAGATTTTGTGGCCCTCAACATATTTAATTACTTCTTTTGGAGGTTGGATTCCAAATGGGCTCAAATAAATTACAATATATTTATTTTTACGATATGCTGTCCAGTGTGTGCCAGATGAGCTATCTAAATTAACTATTCCGCACTCTTTTACTTTTGGTGTAAGATTTTTTTGCTCGTTTTTAGTTACACCCCCGGAAGTGAAGCACGTCTTTTGCGGCCTCTAACAGGTGGTAGTTGTCCATATTTTTTATTAAATTTTAATCCCATTCCCAATTTTGCTTTTGCTATAATCAAATTTATCACGGCATAAGCTGCTGCTTTTTCAGCGAGATTTGCATCTTTGGCAGTAACTCTAGTCCAAGCTAAGTCTGCTAATCTCATGTCTGATTTGTTCCGATCAGCAGTGGGATTATTTATATAGAATATGTCATGCTCTTTGCAAAAAGAGTCTAGCTTATTTTTTGGAGGAACATTTTTGGCAAAATTTTCACGTTTCTTAGTTCCAGGACCACAATATGAATATGAAGGGATGTGGTGGGGGAATGGAAGGTTCTTTATAAGGGTATTTAACAACCCTCGGCCCCTAAAGGGTTTTAAGAATAAACCTTTGCCCTTTTTACATGTTTTCTTACCCATTTTCACTAAACAAAAATTGTCTTTTATAAAAAAGATTAAAATAGTACATAAGGAAAATATACCAAAGAAGTTGGGTCTATTTCCTACCAATATTCAATGTGTTATTTGTAGCCCAAGCGGAAGTGGAAAGACGGTTGTCATTTATATTTTAATTGTAAGAAAGGAAGCACCAAATGATGTCGAATCACAGTCGGTTGTTTTATTTGATGACATAAATAACCCAAATATTATACAATTAACTGTTTTTACTTGTGCCAATCTTACAGCAAAGTACACAAACATTTACGTGATAATGTAAATTTCCTAATATTATTCAAACAAGATGATTGAAATTTAAAACATGTATATCACAATCATCTACACAATCAAGTACCCATGAACTTTTGAGAAAACTACAAGTCACACCCCCATAAACCATATACTTAAAATGTTCGTCATGACGAGAAACCTTGCTCAAAACTATCCGTTTTTTCATAAATTGCCACTTAGGGTCATAATTGCTTTCCAAAGGGAACTTCTAAAAATACCTCAGCTGTTCTTATTTGTATGTTATTCTTTCAATGTATTACCTAAACTGTTGTGATTATTTGTTTGTAATGCTGTAATCTGTTTTGTTTATTTCAGCCTAACTTGACCAATCAATAGTTTTATTAATACTTATGAAGTCAAACGGGTTGAAGCCCGTGGATAACAGCTAGTGTTGGTAATCACTTTTCATTTGACCAATTTTATTTACGATTAAACTTTCCCAAGTGTTGCATTATTAAACGTCCATCATAATCTTTCAAGTTATGAATGAATATTGGAATTTTCTTTGTTACTTAATAGTTTAAACTTTAAATTACAATCATTGTGGGCAGCTCCACGGAATCGGCCTGTTAAATGACAATGATCTCGCACCCTATAAAAATATAGGGGCTTTTCGCAAATATGACAATGTGTTGAGTTTTAGAAAGATGCCTCTTGGTCTTGAGTCATACAGGGGGAATATATTTCGCCATGAAGACATAAGTCTGAAATAATCTTTTGAAAAATACGTCCATAACATTTGCACCACTGTATAACTCTTCAGAAATAATTTTAGAATCTCTCACTACAACAAATGCAAATCCAGTTGGAGTATGGTTGTTAGAGTTTATAAAACATTCAAAATCTACATAAATCCCAAATAGGGCTTTAGTTGATATTTATAATTTATAATTTGTAATGTATTTTGTTTAGACATTTCCACTCGTTGGCATCAAAGTTCTTACAACATGTTGTGCGACGTTTTAATTTATCATTAGTGTAAAAATGTTGTAAACACAACTTGGAAAAATACTTCTTATGATCATCTTTTGTAGACCGCAGCATTAACCTATCAAAATCACGAATTAAACAGTAATACGATTTACGACCTTGTAATAATAATAGGTCTATGTGAGTATTACTATTCATCTTAGTTATTCTTAATGGATATACTCATATCTATCATCTTAAATCTCAAATACATTAATATAAGTGATATTATTTTGTCTTTCAAATTTATCTATATCAGATATATATGGGATATTTTATATTTGTCATATTAAACTGAATATATGAAATATATTATGAATGAGGAATTATATGATTGAAAGATAATGATACACTCTCAAAAAACCCCAATACAGTATTTTAAATATTGGGTACTAAACAGATATTAAGTGTGGTGGTTATTCCAGTGTTCAGATACATCATCCAACCTTTGTTGTGTGTGATGCATTCCTCAGTCTAAAGTCTCACATTTTGTAAGACACATTCTCCTGTTCGACTAGTTGTTATTTGTCAGCAGATGGTAAATTGTTTACGTCGTGGTCAGTCCATAGACGGGAAAATGATTAAAGCTACGGGAAAATTATTAAAGCTACGGAAAGTTCGAAACATTGAGATATGGATGAATAAATTTGTCTTGATGAAACATGGCTCAACGAGAACAAAGTGGAGGAGCAGTAAAAAGGACCATAAATTCACCTTTTGGAAAAATAAAAGAATAACTGTCTGCCACGCTGGTATTGCTAAAGGATAATCAATGCACCTCTTCTGACTTTTAAAAGACTTTATTCTTCAGTTACCATATGCTAAGCTCACAAACATATTTGGAATGTACAATGCGTAAGAGGTAGGATTGTTGGAGGAAAACTATAAAGATTTTTTTCTTGAGTTATACTCACATAGAGATTTACAATGTACAATGCGTATAGGTAGGCTTGTTGGAGGCTCTCAGAGAACTGGAGACTGTGGAAGGCAGAGACCTGCTCAGCCCCGAGTACCAGCAGATCCTTGACAACCAGAAACAGCTGTTGGAGCGATACAACAGCCAGCCTGGCTATCTCACCCGCCTCACTGGTAATTTTAATACCTTATTAAAATATAATAATTGCTTTAGTTGTTCGTTGTGATGACATGTTTGTGATGAGAGCTATTTCATTTGTTGAAATGATCACATAACTATTTGTTTCACTTTTAAATCTATGTTTTACCTATAATTTTAATGATCAAATTCGTCTTTATGACATTTTTTTAACAATTTGTTGCTATTAATTTATAAAATAAACATTTTCATGTGTGTCTGTTACTTCTGGGTAATAAGTAAAATTGATTGTAACACGACAAATATTATAAAAAAATGAGAAATTACAGTATTACTGATAAAATTGATACCTTAACGAATGACTGAATTTTTCAAGACTACCAGTATTCTTTAATAAGCATCTGCCTTAAACTACCTTTATAATATGATTAATTTCTCATCAGTCATATTGGTAAAATATTTACTGTATTATTAATTTACTTATAAAGCTACCTTGATTTCCTGGTTTGCAAATTTTAGATTTGCACAATACATAAAATATTATGGTCTCATTTGCGTAGAATTTCTTGTTATATAATTTATAAATGACGCTATGAGATATGAACATGTATTGATTAAATTAATTATTTTCAGATACTATAGCTGAGATGTACATTCACTGGCACAAGATAAAAGGAGTTAATGTGAAAGTGAAGATTCCCGTTTTGATGGAGACATTACAAAATTTTAACTTGGATGACCTCCTTTTACATTTTAAATAAAAGCAATTCAAGTATCTATGTCGATAATCAGTCATTTATCATTGGGACGCTTATTGCAGAGGGGGATCATTTTTTAGTAACAAAAATTTCTTATTTCAAATATATTGTTTCCTTATAATATTGCCAAACGGCTAAATCATTAACCAAAATAAACTTATTACACAATTTTTTAAAGTTCTATATTTCGGCATTAGCCTTCTTCAGGAACGAACAAACAATAACAAATAGAAGTGTTTACCACTCTGTATCAGATGGTTTTAGCAAACAATTAGTTATTGTTTGTTTGTTCCTGAAGAAGGCTAATGCCTAAATATAGAATTCTTTTATAAAAAGTGTGATAAGTTTATTTACTTCAAATATACTTAGATTACGGATTTCATTGATGAAGAAGATTTATTGCCTAAATTCCAATCTGGGTTTATAAAAAATCATAGCACAAACACTGCATTGATAAACCTGTTTGCAGACTTGTTTGCGGCGAGAGATAGCGGCCGGTGTAGCTCTTTGATCATGCTTGATTACTCGCAGGCATTTGACTCCATCAGCCATGGTTTGCTACTCAGCAAATTGAGACACTTTGGAATTTGGGATGTGGCAATTAGCTGGCTAAGGTCGTATTTGGGAAACAGATCCCAGGTAACCAGGATGGGTGTAGACACCTCGCCTCCCCTTAAAAAGCTTAGGGGAGTACCGCAGGGGAGTTTTCTGGGACCCATCTTGTTTACACTCTGTACAGCCGACCTTACCACGTGTGTACGTCACTGTAATGTGCATGCATATGCAGATGACTGCCAGTTTCATTTTTCCTACCCAATCAGCTCATTCAATAGCGCGCCTTTGAGAATGCAAACATGGATCTTGAGAGAATAAGTGAGTGGTCAAGGAAGCACGGCCTTAAGTTGACTGTTGAAAAATGCACAGTGATCCACATTGGATCACCACCCATCGTAATCCAAAAAATCTGCGACGGTAAAGTGCATATTCAACTTGACAATGAAAAGCTTGGGGTTTGTGACACTGTCAGGACATTGGGCGTGGTTCTTGACAGTGGTCTTACCTTCTCCAACCACATCACTTACGTTTCTCAAATTGTTTTGGGAAGGCTGCGAGGACTGTACAGATTCCGTTCGATTCTTCCAGAGACTGCAAAATTGAAGTTGGTTCAGTCTCTGGTGTTGTCAGTGATGTACTACTGCATTTCTGCATACGGTAACAGTATTTCCCGGGAGGATATGAAGCTACTTAATAGGCTGCAAAACACCGCAGTTAGTTTTGTCTACGGACTTCATAAGCGGGAACACATATCCTCTTTCCAGGATTCTGCTGGTCTGTTACTAGCCGATTCTGTATGCAGAGTGCAAACTTGTTGTCTCATCCATCGGGTATTATCTCAGAGAACCAAAATACCTGGTGGAGAGACTTGTGACACGTGGAGCAATTGCTCGACGGGTCACTAGGCAGGACACCCTCCTCCACTTTCTAAAAGTTAATTTGGAAATAGGGAGGAGGGGGTTCTCCTATTTTGGCCCAACCCTTTACAATGACCTCTCCTATCAGTTCAAAAGCCTTTCGGCATTAGCTTTAAAAAATAAGGTTAAAATGCATTGCAAAGCAGGCGTATAATTTTTTGTTGAGGTTTTATTCTTGTAAATATTTTGTTTATATATTTGACTTGTAATGTTTAGTTTTAGTGACGTGAGTTATTCTGTAAACCAGTATTGTATTGAGAAGCGCTCAAGAATAAAGGCATTTTGATTTGATTTGATGATTAGGCTAGCTACAAGAACGTGATATTTGATTTGAAGACCTTTTGTAGCCAATATGTTGGACGCCATTAAAAGAAAACAATGCGTATTTGTTTTGTTATGGTGTAGTAGCCCACTTATTCTGGCCTATGTTTCAAACAATATTTTCACTACCCAATTGGCTAACTGCACGTAAATTGTGGTGTTATATAAAATGAGTAACGGTAGTGCCTTTGGAATTTGGTTAGGACAAATTAATTATGATTATAAGGACTCACTATCCAGGTATGTACCTTTGCAGAATCCCTTTATAAATTAAAATAGGTTCAAAAATAAGCACAAAAAATGAATTTAAATTTTGAAAAAAATAACATAGATCAAATGGGTTGCCATGCTGGTTACGAAATAACAACTAAATATAAACAGAAAATCAAAACAAATGGAAGAAACTCCAATCATATGTTTTATTCACAGTGTGGGATGAAAATAAAGAAGACTGTACATTAAATATTTTTGGTCGAGTTTCGACCACTGGACGACCTCTAGTATCTATAAAAGAGGAACTATGTATGTATGTATATATATGTGTATATACGTTATGGACTCCGAAACCGCTCGACAGATTGTAATGAAACTTTTAGGCATTATTAAGCATCTTTCAAGGATGGTTCGAGTGAAGTTTGGTGCAGATCCGTCCAAAGGGCTCTGCCCCAGAGGGTTTTAAGTTGGCCAATGTCAGACTTTTTGATCTAGAATGTTTACAAATAAATATAATTTAAAAACAGATGTTTACTTTCACCAACTGTTTTGTACGTTTGAATAACTACAACATTCTGTATTAGCATTAGTCATGATTTGAAATTGTGCCACGGTGTTTCTACAGATTGCAGCACAGAAAACTATTTTACTTTTAAATAAGTCCAAATGTATTAAACCCCAATCGCAGCACACCTGTGCACTTAACAACGTTTAAATTCTCCAATGTTAAATATTAAAACATAAAAACCTTTATAAAAGTACTGTATTATAAACAATTAAGGGATGACTTTTTTAAATGTATGACAACAGCTAATTTGCAACCAAAAGGTGAGTGTGCTCACAAAAAAAAAACCTAACGAACATCAACCTGGAGGCGAGTAAGCGTAGCGAACGAGCTAACCTGAAAACAAGTGAGCGCATAGAACGATTTCCAACCCGAAGGTGAGTGAGCGTAGCGAACGAACTTCAACCGGGACGTGATTGAGCCATGCAAATACTTATGAAGTTAAACGGGGCAAAGCCCGTGGGTACAGCTAGTATTTAAATAAATTAAAAATCTTAAGGATTCAAATTATCAAGTATTCTGTTACAATAGAAGTTTATTAATCATGTACGTAAGAAATAGGGTATTACAATAATTGAGGTTTCATAATTCAAATGAATAAATATAGGGTCGCCATCTTAGGTTTAGCTCAGTAGAACATAACACTGAGTTTATAATCTTAATACAATAATTCGATTACTAATATTCTGAGGGAGTGGCACTCGTCTGACTCATCAGATCTTAAACATTTGTTAATACTCAATAACATATGCCAATTATTAAAAGTAAAATGGGGATAGTTAGTTTATATTGTACTTAAACACTTGGATGGGCAGCTTAAATAGTCTAACAATTAATTTAATAGGGTTTAAATTTAATAAAGGTTGAAGTTAATAAATCTTGCTCGAATTCTTTTTCTGAATTTATTCTTGATGATATGGAGATAAAGTTTTTGAAATATAAAATTTAGTTTGATCAGATTGAAAATAAAAAAATGTATCATTGGTAAATTTCTTCAAGTATGCTAGGCCTAAGTTAATAATCCCAAAATGGAAATTTCTCACCAGGTTTGTTCTTCACAGTGGCATTCAGTTAAAATTCTTGATGTGGTAGTACAAATTTAAACAAACAAGGAAGTATAAATGTATGCCACTGCTATTTTGTTACTTGTGATACACTTGTATAACGCTTTTGCTTTGAAGTATATTTATTAAGGGATGAGACCTTCACTGAAAAGACGCTGCCATGTCTGATGGAGAAGAAAGTAATTTTTAAATTTCACTCAAGAGGTTCATAAGTTCATTATTGTAGCTAGCTGACTTCTTTCTTGATACATTAACATCACTTTCACTTACATTTAGGCGATTGAAAATTTATTTTTCCTTCAGTTACCTAACAATGTGCATGTGATCCCACTGCTTTGAGAAAGCAAAGTGGCCAATTCGCTCGACAATGAGACAATGTTAACATTGTCTCACTCTAATTACTTTTTCTCACTCCAGATTTCCAACGTGAAGTCACGTTTCTTTACCAATTTATTTGTTTTATGGAAACTGTACGAAAAATATAATGAGCAACTCGAGTGCAAAGTGCAATCGCCTCACTCGAGAAACCACTCCTAAGGATTTCTATCGAGTGAGGCAATTGCTCACTTTGCTCACTAGTTGCACAAATAACTATTACAATTATTATTGTTATGTTATGAGCTATTATTATTGTTGGGATTTTAGGATGAATTTAAACCATATTAATAGTAATGGATAAAAGTTTTATTACAACTATGGATTAAATTCTATAGTAACAGGCTTGTTGTTAACAATCTATTAGATGGTATATACATATTAAAAAATGATGATTTTTTTCTAAAGGGTTATTAAAGGATCATACAATTTAATTTTACTATACATTTTCTGAGGATTTAGCTAAATAGACTATATGTCAAATTTTGGTACACACAAAGAAAAAAATATATATAACTAAAACGAATGAATGTAATGAATAGGCTATCATTAACATTTAACATTGCAAACTCTAATGGTTCTGTGTTAGGTCTGGGGGACAAACATCTGTGGATAAATATTATACATATAGCTTTAATAGCACATTGACATGTGTGTCATAAATTATACACATGGCCCAAGTGGCAAATCGCTTGTGTATCAAATAAGATTCACAAAGCCCACAGGGGAAAAAGTAATAAAATACTTTAAGGCCTAATAGAAAAAAAGGCGCTGAATGTAACTCAAGACGTATGCACAGAGCACCAAATAGGACGTTGGGGTGAACAGAGGGAAGCGATAATTCCCGCCCTCTCTCAAGGTCAGCCCGCCTGATCTTGTTACTACCGCTACAGCCATACTCGCATCTATCCTTTTGCACGTGAGGGGTGAGCGCTATTAGTTCTAGTGCTGCGATCTAAGCGAGGCATTTGTAAGTCTCAAAAAGTAATCCAA